TTTCAGATAAGAAATTTTCAATTTTAGCTTTCTTTTTTTTTTTTTTTTTAACTTTCAGATAAGAAATTTTCAATTTTAGTTTTCTTTTTTTTGAGACAGAAAATTTTAAAATTTTTAGTTTGATTGATAAAATTGAAAAGAGAAAAAAAAAAAGATTTTGTTTTTTTGTTTTTTTTTTGGGTTTTTATAGTAATTTTATCAATGTTTTTTAAACTATTTTTTTCTCATTTCAATTTCACGACAAATAATTACAATTTTGGTTGATTAAAAAGTAACTTTGTTGAAGTGATAAGTGATATGATATTTAATTGTTACAGCTAATTACAATTAATTACCTAATTTGAGCGCTAATTGCTAATTTTCAATCAATTAGCAATTAGCGCTCAAAGCAATGATTAAATTGTAAACTATTATTTAAAAGTTTAAATTTGTTGAAATAATTTTTCAAAAATAACTGATAAAAATTATTTTTAATTTGATTTTTCATTAATGATTATTTCAATAAAATAATTTAATTTATATTTCTTTGCTATATTTTTCTTGTTAGTATCCAAAATTGAAAATTTTAGATGTCATTTTATAATAGCATGAAGGTTTTTCTTTTTTTAAACTGAAAAATTTAAATTGTTAAAATTTAGTTAATCGGCAATTTGCGCTTGGCGAAAAAAAAAAAAAACTAATCATTTACGTACTTTTTGCGCATATGTGAGTATGACAATAATTTTTTTTTTTTTTTAAATTTAACATTTCAGTTCCATCATGCAAAAAAAAAAAAACAAAAAACAAAAGCATTCGAAATTTTTAGAATAAATTAATTTTAAAAAAAAAAAGTAATTTTAATTATTTTTTATTTGCAAACATTTCTCATATAAAAAAATACAATCGAGAAAACAGCTAATATAGGAAAGTGATTACCTTTATTTATTTCTATTAATTTCAATTTTTTTAAATTAATTTTTTAATGAATTAATTAGCATTACATAAATTGAAAATTGTTTTCTTTCTAAAATAGTCAAAATTTGACTGAATTATTTTAATTTCAAATTAAATATTTCATATATACCATTCCTGAATTCATTAGTTCCAATTATTAATTCATCCAGTTTATTAAAATTTATTAAGCCATTTTTTTTAAAAAATTTAATATGACTAATTGTTATGATGACTCAGTCAACGAATGTATGAATATTTCAAATTTCTAAATTTAATAAAAATTAATGTTTAGCTTCTTTCTTTTTTATAACAGTAATGATTCATTCAATTTTTTTTTTTTTTTTTTTTGCTAATAGGACTAGAATATGATAAATATCCGGATGTTTCATCCGGATATCACTAAATTCCGGATGTAATTTAGTATAATACCAATCATTTAAATCGATGATTAAACTATAAAATAAGTAAAAATTGCTAGTTAATGATTAATTTTATCATATTTTGATAATAACTTACTAACAATTATATCTGATAAAAATTTGTGTAAAATTTTCATATTTAAAAAATAATAATTAAATTTGATTAATTATTTTTACATATAGTGCTGTTTGTTTTGATTTAATTAAGGAAAAAAAAAAAAAAAAAAAAAAGGTACAAATTGAAAAATTTTTGCACTTCAATTTCACGAATATTGGTGACATAAGAATGATTATTTTAAAGTTTAAATAAAGTTGCATTTTGAAATGTTTGAAATTTAGAGTTTTGCTATTTTACCAATTAGAAATTTGTTAAATAGGCAACTGTTCCATTATTGATAGGTGATATATGATATGATTAGTAATCATTTGCATGAAATTTTTTTTTCCACATTTTGCTTTTTTTCTCTTTCCCTCTCTCTCACACCCTCTCTCTCTCTCTCTTTCTTAAAAAATTAGAAAATAAAATTTAATTATTTAATTATTGTTGTTATTGAATTAGAAAATGATACATATTGAAATTATATCTTAGTGTGCATTATGAATTTATATGGAAAAAAAAAAAAAAATTTGCGATAATTTTTTTTAAAAATTTAATTTTATTTTAGTTAAAATTAATTTTTGCAATTAAATTTGTAAATTAAATTTGCTATTAATATTAAAATTTGCAATTAATTCACTAATATTTTGTTAATTTTTTTTTAAGTTAAAAAATATTTACTTTCCATTAACTTTAATTTTCTTCTTTTTTTCGTTTTTCTTTTCCTCACTTTTTTTTTTTTTTTTTTTGTTTACATTTGCAAACATTAATATATCAAAATGATTCAAACATTCATTTCACTAAGTATTTTACAAATTTTTGCATGCAGGCATGCAGATTGTATGTTAGAAAATATTCTGCATGCAGGCATGCAGAATGTATGTCAGAAAATATTTCATAGACTCATTTATAAGCTTTTTTTCGTTTTTCTTTCTTCGTTTTTTTGCGCTTCTTTTTTTTTATAAAATGTTCAATTCTATGGTTATTGTAATTAATTAGCTATTCACATACAGACATACACAGACATGCTTAAACATACACAGACATACACAGACATGCTTAAACATACACAGACATACATATATATATATATGAATGCAATAGAAAAATGGAAATATTTAAAAGAGTTAAACTCCACCTCCGTACTTCTGCGCCAATCTTATCGAACAATATTTAAGTGTTAAGTGAAAAAGTTCGAAAAGAGGAGCATATAATCAGTCATTAGAAGAGTTAGTAGTTTAGAGAGGGAATTAGATGAGAGATGAAAGAGAAGAGGAAGTAGGGAAAGAAAGAAAGAAGGAGGAAAGGAAGGAGGAAGGAAGGAGGAAAGGAAGGAGGAAAGGAAGGAAGGAGGAAGGAGGAAAGGAGGAAAGGAGGAAATTTCAAATTTATTTTCACAGCCTCTCCTATTTAACGATATATTATTGGGTATTACTTTAAAATGCTTTAAGAGCAACTTGCCTGTATGTATTATTTTGTTTAATTAAATAATCAAATATTTTAATATATGTAAAATAATAATTGTAATTATTGAATTATATGTTTGTTATTTTTAACATTTATATTTATGATTAAATTATATGAATTATTAGTTATTAATCATAATAATCAATACGTTTATATTTATTTTTTATTTAATTTTTTAAATAGATAAATTAATAAATATATGAATAAATTTATTTAATTATATTTAATATGTAAAATAGTGATTGTAATTTATAAAATAATTTTGTTCATTCTAAAATAATTTGATATTAGTTAGTAATTATTAATCGTAATAATCAATTCATTTGTATGTATTCTTTTTTATTTTTTAAATAAATAAATTAAACTTTACTTTTTATTTTTAATAATTTTATTTAATATGTAAAGTGATAATTGCAGTTATTGCATTATACATTTGTTTGAAATTTATATTTATGATTAAATTATATTAATTGGTAGTTACTATATTATAGTATATATTTGTTTATTCTAAAGTTATTTGTTATTAATTAGTAATTATCAATAGTAATAATTAATTCATTTATATTCATTCTTTTAATTTCTCAAATAGATAAATTAAAGTTTATTTTTTTTTTTTAAATAATTTTATTTAATATGTAAAATGATAATTGTAATTATTGTAGTATATATTTGTTTATTCTAAAATTATTTGATATTAATTAGTAATTATTAATCGTATGATTATTAAATATCTTTTCGTTTCTCATTTATTCATTTAATTTTTTAAATTGATAAATTAATAAATGTATAAATAATTTTTTGTTTAATGTGTAAAAAAATAATTGTAATTATTGTAATATATATTTGTTTGTTCTCAAAATTATATTTGTAATTATTTTATATTAAATAGTAAATATTAATGATAATAATTAAGTATCTTTTCGCTTTTTTTTTCACCACTTTTCATTAATTTCATTGTTTTAATTTCTTAAATAGATAAATTAATAAAATATATAAATAATTTTGTTTAATAATAGAAAGATAATTGGAATTATCGCAGTATATTTGTTTATTATAAAATTATTTTTATAATTATTTTGATCAATTAGTATTTATTAATCATTTATTGATAATTAATTAATGTTTATTAATTAGTATTTATTAAAATTAATTATCTAATATTCTTTTTTTACAATTATTTATTTACATTTATTCTTTTGATTTCTTGAATAGATAAATTAATAAATATATAAATAATTTGATATGTTAATAATATAAATTAGAAAACTAATTTTTTGGGAGAAATTTTATTAAATTTTCTGTTTGCTTCTTTACTTTTTCTTCTATGTTAATTTTTTTTAGTATTTTAATTTTTTTTTTTTTTTTGTATGAAATATTAATTTGTTGAATTTTATTTCAAGAAAAAATTGTTTAATTAATATTTATTTATGCGAATATTTATTAATTTATCAATTTATATTTATTAATTTATATATTTATTATTAATTAATATTTTTTATTTATTAATGAAAAGTATTATATGCGAATTTTGTTGAATTAAAATAATTTTATTAAAAGTTTTATTTCATATAAATAGTAGTTATTATTTGAGAAAATGCCAGAACAGATGTGATTGTTTTAGAAATATTTGAATGATTTTTTTCTTTCCTTTTTTTTTGTTAGTATACCAATTTTTTCGCAAATCGTTTTTAGTTACTTTTACAATTTAAATTTTTTTTTTTTACGGCAAGATGAAAGAAAAATTTTTTTTGCTTAGAACAGTGGTTTTATTCTCGAGGCGTAGCAATATTATCAGGGCTACGTCCTGAGCTACGTCCAAACTGATTGTTCCGCTTAACAGCACGACAATTTGAAAGATAATACGGAAGCCGGGAAAACAAGAAGGAAAAAAAAGAAAAAAGGAAAAACGGAAAGAAGAAGAAAAACGGAAAGATTGCATTCCGAATAACAATTTATCCACTGCATCGTTCCGGTTTTGATTATTTCGAATACCGTAATTCAAAATTATCCTATCGGTCAGCTATTTTGTGGCATATTGTATACATTTTGCTTACACAACAATTCACTGACCCGCCTCATCAGCTATGAGGACGCGGTTCAGGATACCGTTATGGTTAGTTTTTTAATTTTTTTAAAATCAAAAATTAATTTAAATTAATTATTTAATACACTTTTCTTCTTCAATTTACCAATTTATTAGCCTTATTAATCCATAAATTAACAAAAAAAAGAAGAAAAATCACAAAACTGTTTAATTATGCATAAATATTTTATCAATAATAATTTCATTAATTCATATAAATTAATTTATTACTTATTATTATTACTTCATTTATTCATATAAATTAATTTATTACTTATTATTATTATTTCATTAATTCATATAAATTAACTTATTACTTATTATTATTATTTCATTAATTCATATAAATTAATTTATAACTTATTATTATTACTTCATTAATTCATATAAATTAATTTATTACTTATTATTATTACTTCATTAATTCATATAAATTAATTTATTACTTATTATTATTACTTCATTAATTCATATAAATTAATTTATTACTTATTATTATTACTTCATTAATTCATATAAATTAATTTATTACTTATAATTATTACTTCATTAATTCATATAAATTAATTTATTACTTATTATTATTACTTCATTAATTCATATAAATTAATTTATTACTTATTGTTGCTACTTAGATGATAAATTCGTAATAATATGCATATTTTATTTTTCTTAAAATATATAAATTTAATTAATTTTAATCAATTATTTAATTAATTTAATTTACAACGAGAAATCATTTAGTTAAAGCATTCCTTTTTTTTTCAAAACATTTAATTTTCAATTAAATAAATTTAAATTATTATCAAATTAAAATATTTTAAAAGTTAAAATAATTTTTGATTAATAAAAATGACAAATAAAAAAAATTTAAATTCTTATTACTATTTCTAATATATATATAAATTCTTATTTTCCTACTGTATTAATAACACACACACACACATTGTTTCATCATTTTAATTGGTTATTCTATTTGCCTATGCATTTGTTATTTTTATTTCATTGCAGCATGTGTAACAATTTTTTTTCTACCGTATATTTCGCTTCATAAAGTTAATTTACTCGAGTAATTACTTTAATTTAGAGTATTGTAATTAAGCAAATTAATTACTAATAAGTAGTAGATGAGTAAATAATTAAATAAATAAATGAAATTGTCATTAATGAAATTTATGAATGACAATTTTATATTAATCAAAGGTTTTAAAAAAAAAAATTTATATTATTAAGTAACAGATAAATAAAGAAACAAATAAATAAGTGAATGAATGAAATCATCTTTAATAAAATTTATGAGTGACAATTTTATATTATTCAAAAGTTTTAAAAAGATTTTTTTATTATGTCTAATAAGTAATAGATAAATAAACAAATAAATAAAAAAATAAATAAATAAAAAAACAAATAAATAAATCAAATTGTTATTAATGAAATTTATGAGTGACAATTTTATACTATACAAAAATTTTAAAAAGATTTTTTTATTATTACTAATAAGTAATAGATAAATAAATAAATAAACAAATAAATAATCAAACAAATAAATAAATCAAATTATCATTAATGAAATTTATGAGTGATAATTTTTACTATTATTATTCAAAAGTCTAAAAAAAAATTTTATATTTTTCAAAAGTATTAATTTAGAATTTGTTAAGAAATAATCAAAAAATGATTATTACAGGCCCTTATTACTCGCAACTACAGCGATATTCTTTACATGGACAATTGATGCGGTCAGTATTTTTATCTTTTTAAATTAAATTAAATTAATTTTTTTATTGAAATTGGAAAAGAGAAATTTTAAATTGGAAAATTTAATTTTTAATAACTGCCAGCAATATAATTATCAAATAGTATGTGAATCGAATTACACCATTCATTATCCATTTTATGTAATTGATTCTTTTTAAATTTTAAATTTAATTATATGTAAAAATTTAAATATGTTTTAAATTATAATTTTAGACTATTTAATTTATAAAATTTCAGTTATATTGGCTTTTTTTTTTTTCAAAATTGTAGCAAATATTTGATTTTTTTGTTTAAATTTTGTTAATTTTTTTTCTTTTTTTTTTTATTCATATTAAACATTTATTAAATTCATGAAATTGCACAAAAGAAAACATTTATAATTTTTTAATAAACCAAATAATTAATTTTTTTTTTTTGGCCAAATGAAATTATTTAAGTATTGCAATACTTATAATTTATTAAATGTTACATTTATTTATATTTGCATAAATAGATTTTATTGATTGATCAGAAATGCTTAACTTCAATAAGTTCAATCTATCAAAAAGGAAGAAATAATAGTTTGATAATAGTGATAAAATTGATAACAGATATGACTGATATGACTGATAATTTTATTTTATCAAAGTTTGCAACAAAAATTCATTTTCGCTTTAAAAAAATGATTAATTGTAGTATAACATAAAAGAATTTAATCTAATATTTAAAAAAAACATTACATTGAATAATTATTTTTGTTTTTAATAATTAATAAAATTGAGTGATAAAATTCTGATGAATGAAATCAGTAATTGATTTGATATGATCCTTATCATTTGATTTATCAGTGGATAATACAGCTACACATACCGTTCTAACCAGTAACTATCAGAATATATTAGTTTAAATTAATCTAATTTATGCATTCTATTTTTATATGCTAATTTAAATTATTAATTAATTGATTATTAATATTTTATTCATTAGCTTATTATATAATCACAGTTTTTTTTTATCATCTGCTGATTAATTGAAGATAATTTATTAAATTTTGTGATAACTTTATCAAAAATTAACTTTATAAAAAATTCATCCTTAAAAGAATTGTATTTTCATAGTAAAATATTTACATCTGAATATTTAGATAATTTAATGTTTATTTCACTCCTTCATCTTCCTCCTATTGCTATTTGTTAAGAATTTTTTAATTCAAAAATTTGAATTCCAAAATCATTCCTTCACTTTGATTATTAAATGAAGAAAAAATATTAATAAAAAAACTAAATTAGAATTTTTCAAAAGAATTTTTTTGCAAAAGTAATTAATTATCTTTTATAAAAACCAATTAAACTAAAATGGACAAAGATAATTTTAAAATTACTAAAAAAGCTTATTTCAATAATATATGATAAGGCAAATAATTTGAAAATTTAAAAAAAAAAAAATTATAATCGATGTTTTTTTCATTTTTATGATAAAAAGTTAAAAAAAAATTAATGCATAACTATCTGTAAATGCAATTTATTTTTGATTAAATTCTTTTTAAGCTTTTTTTATTATTAGTTAAATAATATTTAGATTTACTATTAAATCATATATCAGTAAAGAATTATCAGTTTATCATCTGATAAACAGAAAGTTTGAATGATAATAGCTAATGCTAACATTACGGCGTCGTATTGCATCACTAATGACTGACAAATTGAATTCTTTTATCTGAAAATTTCAGTTTACACTACTAGAATGTTCCATTTTGACATTCTTAGATCAAAAGAAAAAAAAGAAAAGCAAAAACGAAGAAAAAAATTAATAAAAAAATAAAAAACACTTTTTATATAATTTAAATTATTAAAAATGTCGCTCATTTAACTATTTAAATGAATTTTAAATTTTTCAATGTTTATTTGCTTCTATTTTAGCAAATATTTATTTAAAAAAAAAATAATAAAACAATGATTTTTGTTTTCTTTTTTTTTTGCATAATCATTTTATTGTTTTAATATTAAAATTTGGTTTGTAAAAATTCTGAAAAAAAAAAAATCATTTATTTTGAAATGTTTTTTTTTTTTAATTAAATCAACAATTTTTTTTTTGGTTGAATATTGCTTTAAAGCAAGTTTAAAATTAGAAATTTAAATTTAATTAAAAATATTTTGTCAAATTTTTTCTTTTTTTTTTTAATTGATATATACAAAAAGAGCTAATAGTGATAAAAATTAGCAATAAAAATGATATTTAACAGTTTTCTTTAAAGCAATGATAATATTTAAAAGACTATTTATCTTCATAATGATCATTTCATTCCACATTTAATGACAACTGTTCTCGTTCTTGGTACCGTGAACCATTTGTGTAATATTTAAACAATCAACACTTATACTCTAATTTTAACTAAATGAATATATAATCTCAATCGATTGATGTTAAATAATTTTAATTTTAACAAATTTTATCAAAAATTTCACTATCAAGTTTAATGTATTTTATTTTGCTAACATTTTTATATAATTTTTTAATCAAAAAACAAAACGAAGGATACTATTTAGAAATACTTTTATCACGATATGTAGATTTTTTTTAAAAAAAAAAAAATTAAACTATCATTCAAAAAAACTCTACAGAAGTTTGGATGATAATTATTATCATAATAATATTGATTAAATTTAAACACAAAATATTGGGTGAAAAATGCAGCACACTTTATTATTATTATTATTTATTTTTATTAATTTAAAGTGCAATTGAATTTTTTTGATAAATCTGAGATGTAAATCTAAATTTTAAAAATTTGAAATTTAAATAATCCTAGATGAAATTATCAAATATATTTGATAATCTTATCTTTTTTTCTTTTAATTTAACTTTAATATACAACGAAAAGGTTTTCCAGAGCTTTTTTTCCAATAAATTTTATAATTTGAATATTAGAATAATCGATGTGAAAATTTTTTCACAATGAATTTTAGACTGAAAATAATTAATTAATAGTTATTTTTATAACCAAATAACATAAATTTAATTAAGCAATTTTTTTTGTTTGAGAAATAGCACAAAAGCATTAATAAAAAAAAAGAAAAAAAAAAGTAATTCTTAATTAAAAATAAAAAATTTAAAAATATTTAATATTGCCACTGTGTAATTAGCATACAAATGGAATGCTCAGTTATTATAAATTTCGAAAAATTTTTCATTTAATCAAATTGACTGTGTTATTTTTTTGAGTAAAAAGTAATGTGTGAGAACGATGGAATAAATTTCATTTTATTTATTCAAAAAAATTGATTCATTTTTTTTTTTTTTGTTGCAAGAACTTTTTTTCCTTTTTTTTGAGGGAAATTCAAATAAAAGATAGACCAGCAAAATAAAAAAAAATACGACAAATATTAAATTATTTAAACATTTTGAAATGAATATTTAAATTTGGGATTTATGAAATTTAGTGACAAATAAAACTTTTCTTTTATTCAAAATTTTTTGTCCATTTTTTTTTACAAATTAGTTAATTTAATTAGATGTGAATGAAGTGGAAATTTGTTTAATTTACTAACATTTATTGTTAGTATTAAAAAAAAAAAAAAAAAAAAGTCACAGTACTTATTTTTCACTTTTATCGGTTCATCAAAAATTGTCAACGATTCGTAAATGTTTTATGATGTCTGATTGAATTTTGCATGTATTATTCATATTGTTTAATGTTTCAGCAACAAAAATTAAAGGAATTCAAATAAATGTTTATTTAAAAAAGAGATGATTTATTTTTTATGAATTAATTATTTTTTCATTTAATATAATAAAAAAAAATTATTGATTAATTGATTCACTTATATATTCAAAAACGCTTTTTAAAAATTTAAAAATTTGCATTATATTATAATGTTAATAATAATCTTTTTCATCAAAGAAAAAAAGGTTTCTTCTCATTAATATTATTCTTTTTTTTTTTTAAATGTGATAATTTAATATAAACAATTTATCAATAAATTTAGAAATGATAAATTTTTTAATGGTTGATGTATATTTATCTGAATGTGTTAGTATATGTGTGCACATCAATTAATAAATAAATGAGAAAATTGATAAAAGTAAATTAATTATGCTTATATTTGTAAATAATATTAGCTTATTAGCAATGAAAATACCAGCTTAGAATAAGCATATGTAAAACTGTACAGACCAATAAATTGTTTTTTGGTAACAGTTGTTTCATTTCCTGAATTTTGATGTAATCTTTTGGAAAAAAAAAAAAGAAACTGATAATGGATGAAAATAAAAACAGGAAAAGATATGATTGTCAAGAAGAGGGAGAGAGAAAAGAAGAGAGAAAGAGGATGTAATTTTTGCTTATTATTTCTAAGACAAATGCACTTTTTAGCAAGAAAAAATGCTGTAAAAAGAAAAATTATGCTTTTATTTTTGAAGATAGTACAACAGATGCGTTAGATTTTATCGTCTCTCACTCATTTATCAGATGTATCGTAACAGATGAATGTTGTTACTGATAGTGATTAATTTATTGATATATGAATAATTAACAATAGTAACAGATGAATAACGCAGTGAAATGTTCATCTAAAAATATTATATGTAATACAGTATTCATCACAAATGATATATTATCATAACACATGAATATTGTTACTGATAATGATTAATTAACAATGGTAACATATAAATAACACAGTAAAATGTTCATCAAAAATATTATATATAGTACAGTAATCATCAAAAATGGTATGTTATCGTAACAGATGAATATTATTACTGATAATAATTAATTTATTTATATATGACTAATTAACAATGGTAGCATATAAATAACACAGTAAAACGTTCATCTAAAAATATGTAATACAGTAATCATCAAAAATGGTATGTTATCGTAACAGATGAATATTATTACTGATAATGATTAATTTATTGATATATGATCAATTAGCAATGGTAACATATAAATAACACGGTAAAATGTTCATCTAAAAATATTATATGTAATACAGTAATCATCGCAAATGGTGTATTATCATATGCTAATGATACAATACGTTTACAGTATTATAAACAAAGCATTGTATCCACTGATTACGGTAACGAAGGATACTGTAATAAAAAATTATAGTTATTCGAATTATACATTTCGAATTTGAAATCAGAGTTGGTGGAATTCTCAAATTTATTATTCTTATTATATAAGCTTAAAATTATAGATATTTTCTAATTATTAGCAAATATATTTTTGCATTAGAATTAATATAACTGTATTTAAATTCTGATTTTTTTGTTTCATTAAATCAATTATTATGCGATCAAATAATTGCTTTCGAAAAGATCATTCAATGAATTACTCAATCTTTTTGTTTTTATCATCTGCCAGCTTTAAAAAAAATTTTTTTTTTTTGGCAAATTCAATTTTTGTTGCTTTTTAATGACATTTTTAAAAAATTATTTAATGAATTTTGATACTTATCATTTTAAATATTCAGCTAATACAGCATTTCTTATTTTTTGAAGAGTGAAATGGTGCAAAACGTGCTTTCAGTTTTTTCTTTTTTCAGTTAAATCAGGAAGTATGGAATATGCTATTTAGTTATGTTATTTTAATCAGAATCATCTAATTTAATCCAAAGATTTCGGATTATTTCTTTGTTATTTTAATTAAAAATTTCAATTCTATTCCTAATTTTGAAGTATCTCTCCAATAGAAATAAAATAGTAGTTTATAGTTTCTCGTATATTTAAGTTTATTCTATGCCTCAATAAAACTGAAATGTAGTTGGATTAAATACTTTTTGAAATGATAGAATCATCAATCTCTTTTCCTCTACACACTGACATATTCCGAATAAGCTGCATCGATTCTTGAAGTATTCCCCGATTACGACATTCCGATAACTCTTTGTTCCTCAACCCATAAATTTTTTTACACTTTTTAAATGATTTTTTTTTTTTTTTTTCGTCAATACTGTCTACGATGATAGTAAATTCTGGCAGTAATGCTATTCTCAGCATCTGTTGCATACATTATTCAGTGTAATCAATCAAATAAAATCTGTAAGGGACATAAATGATTTCATTTTAGTTATTTAATCAATGATCATTCAGTTATTTGCAAAATAGTTTCAAATTTTAAAAAAAAAAGAGCAAAAAAAAAAAATTAATTGAACAAATTTTATATTTGTAAATCATTTTCAGCAGACAACATGTCGAGATTGCACAAACAGAGGATGCTTTTGTGTTGGCGAGAAGGGAAGTATGGTAAGATCAAATTTGAATATTGATAAAAATTATCTTTCAAATAGTTCGGTAAAATGTAATTGCAAACTTTTATGTTATGATTATGACTTAAGTTGGAGATGAATATGTTTTGATTATTTTTTCCAGGGTATGCCAGGTCCTCAAGGTCCTCCAGGTTCACAAGGAATACGAGGATTTCCTGGTCCTGAAGGTCTTCCAGGACCAAAAGGACAAAAAGGTTCACAAGGTCCACCAGGACCTCCAGGGATGAAAGGTGATCGAGTAAGTATTTATTGTATATTAAATTTTTAAATGTAAGCTAACTTTAGAGCATATTAAATGCTCTAAGTAGGCTGTTTAGCATTTTCCTTAATGTTTTATTACAACTTTTTCATTCTAGTAATTCAATAATTTCTGCAAATATTCCTTTAATCCAATTTTGAATTACACTTGTAGCAATTTTAAAATAATTCAAGTGATGCAGAATCGTAAATACATTTTTTATTTATGAGAAAATGAATATATTTTCGATTTTTATAGGGATTAATTGGTGTTCCCGGCTTCCCGGGAAATGACGGAGCAAATGGACGACCAGGAGAGCCAGGTCCACCAGGTGCACCTGGTTGGGATGGTTGCAACGGAACGGATGGAGCTCCCGGTGTTCCTGGTTTAGCTGGACCACCAGGACTGCCCGGTTTTCCTGGTACACCAGGTATTCCAGGACCGAAAGGTGAACCAGCTATCGGATATGGTGGAGCACCTGGAGAAAAAGTATTGCTTATTTTTTATTAAATTTCATAGTTTGTTTCTTCAAAAAACTTAAATGCAATTTTTGACAGCAAATTGCTTGTTGCCATATATATTTGCATATATTTATTTAAATTCCAATGTAATAATTCAAATTTCATTAAAGGGTGACGCAGGAATGTCAGGAATGCCAGGATTACCAGGACCACCTGGACGAGATGGATTCCCGGGAATGAAAGGTGATCGTGGTGATATTGGCCCAGCTGTAAGTTACTCAACTGTACACTTAATTTTGAAGTAATAATGCATATTTGATGTTAAATATAAATATATATTAAATTATCATTTATATATTAGTATTCTTATCAGATACTGAAATATTTCATTAAAGTTGAGTAAATTATGCAAGAAAGACTAAATGATATAGTAAATTGAGTTTGAAAATAAAAAAAATTTATTCTCTTAATCAAATATAAATAGGTAAATAAGTTATTTGAATATGAACTGCAGTTTTTTCTATCTGAAATATTATTTGAATTAATGATTTTTTAACCTGATAATTAAAAAAAATGTGGTATTCAGGGACCACGAGGGCCACCTGGTGAGATTGGTATACCTGGAAATCCCGGTATCGGAAGTATAGGGCCAAAAGGAGAACCTGTATGTTTTTTCTAAAAATTTTTTAGCGTTATAATCAAAGTATACCATTTACTTTGTTCTGTTTTTTTTTTTTTTTTTTTTTTTTGAATGATTTTCAATTTAACATTTTTGCGTTAAAGTTCTTAACTTTACATTCAAATGTTGAAATTATTTTGTGTCTTTTAAGATGCACATTTTTGCATCGAAACAGGAAGAGACAATACCTTTAGGGAGATCTTGGTCAGATAGGACCACCAGGTCCACCTGGACCGCGGGAATTCACTGGTTCAGGTTCCATCGTAGGTCCACGTGGTACACCAGGAGAAAAAGGTACGAAGGTGCGTTCATTTTTTACAATTTCCTCGCAACAACATAGCTGTATTTTAGGGCGATCAAGGACCTCGTGGTCTACCAGGTCTTCCAGGTCCGGTACCATCAACCGGTGCCAAAGGTACAATCATTGGTCCGCAGGGTTCCCCAGGAATGAAGGGAGAGAAGGTTTGCATACGTAGATGGAGACCATAGATGCGCAATATAACTTAGCTTGAAAATATTCCTCTCACAAGATCAGCCGATCTAATCTGAATACTTCAAATAAATTATAGTAAAAATTTTTTAATTAAAATAGAAAGTTACCAAAAACTTTTTATTTTAATTAACTACAAATTATAAATAAAAAAAAAAAAAAAAAAAAGAAGAAATCGGCTGAGTTTTTAATGTGTGAACCAAAGCATTTCTCTCTGATTTATAAGACTTTTATATGTATTCAGTTGCTAACGTACGTGAACGTGTACTTAACTGAAAAAATTAGTCAGTCAAAGTGATAAAATCTGATAATCTGATGAATGATAAGTGATATACTTTTTACATTTTGAGTAATACATTTCTGGACGATCACATTGTCATTTACACTTAAACTCATTTATTCACTAAATATGTTATATGAAAATTATTTAAGAAATGAAAAAATAAAAAAAAATTTATAAAAAATTTTGGATAAATTTTTTTTTTAAAAAAAAAAAAATTCTTTTCATATTTGTTATGCTTAGCATAAAGTAATTCTTGAGAAATGATTTAAAAGTACGTCAAAAGTGAGTTCATTAAAATGATTCACTCTCATATTTTGCTAATAATGAATGATTTGAAATACTAATTAAAAAATATATATATAAAATTTAACTCCTAGCTTAAACTATCAGTTTATTTGATTAACAGAAGTTTAAACCTTGCAAATTGCTTGGAAAACTATAAATCATTCATGAAAAGTGAATCATCGATATAAAAAAAGCAAGAAATTGATATAATTTAAAATCTTTCAAATTTTAAAACCAAATTAAAAGTCTTGAAATTCAATAATGAGTTTTTTTCTTTTTTGAGTGAGCATTTAAACGCACAAACTTTACGATGCATCGATAAAAAAAAAAAAAAATTGAATTCGAGATCGATTTTTTTTTTTTGAAAACTAACAATTCTAATTCTTAGTGCGCAAATAAGCAAAATAGGGGCGCAACTATCTATAAGAAATTGCGCAAAATTGGAATAAACAAGCAACTGATCTCATATAAAAGTCTTATCATCTTTTGAAAATTTTTTCACAATTTCTTAACTAATTTTAAAACTTCTTTCCATTGCTTGCTTATCAGAGAATGCAAAATTTAAATTTCATTTTAAAAGTTACTATCTGCTTGTGATAACTTTTTGTTTTATCTGTCAGTTAACAATATAAGCAAGAAAAAAATTCTAAAAAAAATCTCAAATTCATTTTTTTTATACTTAAAAATGTTAAACATTTTAATTTAATTAAAAAAATTTGCGCGATTATATTATTATTATAATTCAAAATTTAACTATTAAAAAAATTTTTCCTTCAATGAATTAATTTACTTTACTTTACTTTACTTTATGCTTAAGCATTTATCATGATAATCATTCTCATTCTGAAAATATTCAAACATTTACCAGTTATAACCAATAATAAAATAAACATTCAGCAAATTAATAAAGGTTTAATTTAAATGGCGAAAAGGAAGGAAAAGAAAAAATTTTAGTAAACATTTGAAATCGTTGCATGTAACTTTGTTTTGATACATTCTTATTTACTTACTTACTTTATGCTAATCTAACAGCTTTCTTTCAGAAAGAATCTTTCAATGAAAGCTTAATACCATTTTAAATGTAATAGTTTATTTGTTTTCGAGTAATGCATATTTATACATGTATTTTTAGGGTGAACCTGGAGAACCTGGAGCACGTGGATATCCGGGAAATGCTGGTGCACCAGGACAACCGGGTTTCCCTGGAATGAAAGGTGAAAAAGGATTATCTGGACCAGCTGGACCACGAGTAAGTTTTTATAGTAATTTATACTCAATAAATGATTATTCAATATGAGCATTAATTCATTAAAGGAAATATGCAACTGTTTTTTTAATTCAGTTTTATTTCTATTGCTTTTTTTTTTTTGAATATATTTTCTAAATTTTCGAATTTTTTTTTTTTGTGAATTTTTTTAATGATAAATGGTTAAAATTATATGGGATTTTAAGTTTTGAAGTTTTATTCAACATTAAGAGATTTGTAAAAGTGATTGAGGCTATTCTTGTGTTATTTGTAGGGCAAAGAAGGACGGCCTGGCTTACCAGGCCCACCAGGTTTCAAGGGTGATCGAGGCTTAGATGGTTTGCCAGGTGTGCCTGGTTTACCTGGTCAAAAGGGTGAACCAGGTTTTCCAGGTCGAGATGGATCAAAAGGAGTTCGAGGTCCACCAGGACCACCAGGAGTAGGTATTTAATCCTTAGAGTTTCAGCTACCTCTGTGATAGTTTATGCAATATTTTTAAAAAAATGAAATGTGACAAAAGCATCCGTCGAGATTAAGACTGCTACTATGCTCCTTGTATAACTGAAAAGTTTTAAAAGGAAATCTTACTGACAGTACTATGCGATCAAAAAGATTCCATTGACAATTGATTAATTGTTCTTCTCATAAATTTCTGATCTAAAAGGAAGAATATTTGATACCAATTTGTGAGACAACACTTTATTTTATTCAATTATAATAACTATAGGGCGGTGATTTTACGGATGGACCGCCGGGACCACGTGGATTACCAGGTCGAGAAGGGCAACCTGGTCCACCGGGTGTTGACGGTTATCCTGGGCCACCTGGACCACCAGGCCCTCAAGGACCACCAGGTGGCCCTGGACTTCCAGGTTTGCCTGGTTTAGAAGGAATACCCGGACCAAAAGGAGCAAAAGGTTGGTAATATTATTGCATATTTTCCTAGCATATTTCTTAGCAATACTTTATGCTGAATTTTTTAACTATGTCACTTTACAGGTGATGCTGGTATCCCAGGTGCTCCTGGTGTACCTGGACCACCAGGATTGCCTGGGCCACGAGGACCTAAAGGTGAGCCTGGGCCACGTGGTATTGATGGAAAGAGTATTCCCGGTTTGCCAGGTAAAGATGGTAGACCTGGTTTGGATGGTTTGCCCGGAAGAAAAGGAGAAATGGGATTACCAGGTGTTCGAGGTAAGTCAATTTTTTTTTGACAATTAAACAAAGTGCAGCAATTTGATTCTAAAAAAATCCATAGTTTAGGTCCTCCTGGTGATTCACTGAATGGACTTCCTGGTCCGCCAGGGTTGCGAGGACCACCGGGACCCAAAGGTTATGACGGACGAGATGGTGCTCCAGGTTTGCCTGGTTTACCTGGACAAAAAGGTGACCGTGGTGGATCGTGTTTGGCTTGTCTTCCCGGAATGAAAGGAGAAAAAGGTAACTTTTAATTGCAGAAATCAATGATCGATAAGTTTTTCCTGATAATTTTTCTGAAATTGAACATTTGTTGGAGTGTTCTGTTCAGGAAAGTTTTGCAAATGAGGAAGTTTATCAAAAGATTAGAGAATGATTATTCAGGTAAACCTGATAAAAGATTGGCTAAAAGGTAGCTGGGTAGAAGATGCATTACGGTGCTTACTATTGCCACCTTTTCAGGCTCTGCTGGTTATCCGGGCTTGCCTGGACCACAAGGTGAAAGGGGATTACCAGGAGTGCCAGGTGCTCAGGGTCCCCCTGGAGATGATGGAATGCCTGGTGCGCCAGGAAGACCTGGACCACCGGGACCACCTGGAAAAGACGGCATTCCCGGTTTACCAGGACAGAAGGGTGAACCAACACATATGGTGCTTCGACCAGGACCACCAGGATATCCGGGTCAGAAGGGTGAAGCTGGCTTCCCAGGCTTGCCTGGACAAGTTGGACTACCTGGGAAATCCGGACCACCTGGTTTGCCAGGATTGCCCGGAATACCAGGACCAAAGGTCAGCATAATATTACAACATTTCAAATTTGAAAATCCAAAAATTAGTACTCATCAAACTCCTTAATTTATTTTTGTAAATGAATGTATGATAAGTTAACAACGTTGCATTATTTCAGGGCGAACCGGGTTTTCCTGGGTTGACAGGAAAACCTGGCAAAGACGGACTTCCAGGTTTTCCTGGATTCAAAGGAGCTCCAGGTTACGGTGCTCCAGGATTGCCAGGACTTCCGGGCCAGAAAGGAGAAGCGGGACTTCCTGGTCTACCAGGAGCTCAAGGACCTGTTGGACCAATGGGACCACCTGTAGCCGAAAGTCAGCTGAAACCAGGACCTCCAGGAAAAGACGGATTACCAGGATTGCCGGGCCCGAAAGGTGATGCAGGTTATCCTGGCCTGCCTGGAAAAGAAGGTCTCCCTGGGCTTCCAGGTTTACCAGGACCAAAAGGAGCTGAAGGTTTGCCGGGTCCACCAGGTGCAGCAGGACAACCTGGATTGCCTGGTCCGAAGGGAAATGCAGGTGAGCAATTAATCCTTTGCTTTTTCTTCCTTAAATTTGTAAAAAAAAAAATATAATTCGGAAATTTGAGAAGTACTGAAAATATCAGAAACATTTCATTTTATACAATTTTAAATTCCAGGGAAACCTGGCTTGCCTGGTTTGCAAGGTCAAAAAGGCGAAACGGGATATCCAGGGCTACCAGGATTACCAGGAGCTAAAGGTGAACCGGGGCTGTCAATGACAGGACCACCAGGTCCTCCTGGATTTCCTGGACTGAAAGGAAACGACGGTTTTCCAGGACCACCAGGGCCTCCAGGTCCTGAAGGACCACGTGGCTTGCCAGGTATACCAGGCTTTAAAGGAGATGCTGGTCTTCCAGGTCCACCTGGAGTTGTAGGTTTACCTGGTCAAAAAGGTGATGCAGGATTTCCAGGACTTCCAGGTAAATTTTATGTGAATTACTCAAATCTTCTATAATTTCTGGAGCATTTTAAAAGTGAGAGTTGATTACAATTACTTTGTTTCAGGAGCAGAAGGTCCGGCAGGACCTCCTGGTGTAGCAGGATTGCCAGGTTTTCCAGGACAAAAAGGTGAAGATGGACTGCCAGGTTTGCCAGGCGTTGCTGGATTAAAAGGAGATGCAGGACTTCCTGGTGCTCCCGGTCTTCCAGGAGCGGACGGAAAACCAGGATTTCCAGGACTTAAAGGACAAGGAGGACCTCCAGGACCACCAGGTTCAAAAGGTATGAATGAACGTTTCCTCTATTATGTACAAAAAAAAACTCTTTTGAAATGCATGCGGAATGCTATATTCAACAATTTGTGTGTATTAACAAAATCAGCTTTAAAATGGAACGATTTCAGGTGATGCTGGATTACCAGGTTTACCAGGAGCACCAGGTGTCAAAGGTGAACGAGGAATAGCTGGTTTACCTGGTTTGCCAGGAGTGAAAGGTGTGCCGGGTTACCCTGGTGCACCTGGTAAAGATGGTATCCCTGGTATTCCAGGTGAAAAAGGCGAACGTGGTTTCAATGGACTACCAGGAGAAAAAGGTGAACCTGGACCTGCTGCAAGAGATGGAGCAAAAGGTGAAGCTGGTTTACCTGGCGCACCAGGTTTACGAGGACCTCAAGGTTTGTCGTTAGTGGAATTAAATGTTTTATGAACTTAATGTTGTTATGTGATTCAGATTCATATAAAAAACGCAGGACAAAATAATTTTATTTTACAGGACCACCTGGATTACCAGGATTGCCAGGAATAAAGGGTGAAGATGGAAAACCAGGTTATGGTGCACCTGGATTGCCAGGAGAAAAAGGTATTCCAGGTTTACCTGGAAAACAAGGAAGACCAGGAGCACCAGGACCAAAAGGACTTGATGGTGCACCAGGATTTCCAGGACTTAAAGGAGAACCAGTAAGATACAGATTTGAAAAAAAAGATTATGACTTTTTAATGCACGTTATAAAAAAAAAATAAAATAACTTTCACAGTGATTATGAAAATTATCATTTTTAGGGTCTTGCTGGACTACCAGGTCTTCCAGGACAAATTGGAGCACCCGGCCTACCAGGACAAAAAGGTGATGCAGGTTTTCCAGGCCAAGCTGGTCTTCCTGGAGCACCAGGTTTGCCGGGTAAAATGGGTGTGCCTGGTATCCGAGGTGACAAGGGAAGCCCGGGAATACCAGGTGCATATGGTGAACGCGGTCTAGATGGTCTTCCAGGACAAAAAGGAGAACCTGGATATCCAGGATTGCAAGGTCCGATAGGTCCACCTGGTCCTAAAGGTAATGTAGGTGCTCCTGGTTACCCAGGTGTAAAAGGACTGCCGGGATTTCCTGGAAAAGATGGACTACCGGGTCTACCAGGAATCAAAGGTGATGCTGGAATACAAGGACCACCTGGAAAAGATGGATTTCCTGGATTACCTGGTCAGAAAGGTGAAGCTGGATTGCCTGGCTTACCTGGCTCACCCGGCAAGTTTTTTTTTTTTTTTCTTGCTAGTTATTAAAAATTCGTTCACAAAGGTTGTTGTGGTTTTTACAGCCGAATTTAGAAACTTTGTCAAACTTGCAACCTTTAAATTCTGGTTTTAATTTTCAAATGATTTTTACTATTCTTTCAGGTGCTTCAATTGCTGGTCTAAAAGGTAGTCCCGGAGCACCGGGACTTCCCGGTAAGGATGGCCTTCCCGGTTTGCCAGGAATGAAAGGTGAACCAGGGATACCAGGATACCCTGGAATACCAGGAGCAAAAGGGGAACCGGGTTTACCTGGAATCCCAGGAGCGAAAGGAGAACCAGGACTACCAGGGTTACCAGGTTTGCGTGGAAAAGATGGACTTCCTGGATCACCTGGTGTAGCTGGATTACCAGGCTTACCTGGTGCAAAAGGTGATGTTGGACTAAGCGGTGCTCCAGGTGCACCTGGTCTTCCAGGTTTACCAGGACTAAAAGGTTTGTCTTCAGAAAATTGTCCTTTATGAATCTAATAACTGAGCCAAATGAGTGGGAAATTTTTTTTTTTTACTTCTTTGAAATGATAACGTCAAAATAAGTTTTAATAATATTTGAATATCTGATATTTTTTTTTGATATTTTTCCAGATTTAAACATTTGATATTTGAATTTCCAATGGAACTTTCTAAGAGTTTTTTTTTACAGGCGAACCAGGTCTTCCTGGATTTCCGGGACCAAAAGGTGAACCAGGTATACCAGGAAAGCCAGGATTTCCAGGATCCCAAGGTGTAAAAGGTGATTGTGGTACTCCTGGAGCACCAGGTCGGGACGGTGCACCGGGCAAAATTGGCGAACCAGGACCAATGGGTCCACCAGGAGCTGAACCATTAACACTGCGTGGTGAGAAAGGTGATCAGGGTCCAATGGGTTTACCGGGTATCCGAGGTGAGAAAGGACTTCCTGGATTGGATGGTTTGCCAGGGCCAGGCGGTTAGTTGATATTCAAGTTGAAAATTAAAATCCATTGATAAATAAATTGTAATTCAATTACTTCACATCTGATGTATAATTAAAATTTGATAACTGATTTCAGGACCACCAGGACCACCAGGATTGAAAGGAGCGGATGGTTTCCCAGGACTACCTGGCTTACCTGGTGAGAAAGGTGCAGCTGGTTTGCCAGGTTTTCCAGGTGTAGAAGGTACACCAGGACCACCAGGATTGCCAGGACCAAATGGACCACCAGGAGCACCCGGACCAACATACAGAGATGGATTCTTACTCGTCAAACATAGTCAAACAACCGAAGTACCTCAATGTCCACAAGGACAGCAGAAACTATGGGATGGTTATTCTTTGCTGTATATCGAAGGCAATGAAAAATCACATAATCAAGATCTTGGTAATTTTTCCCGATTATTCTCGGTGAAAATCAATGAAAGGAATTATTATTATTTTAAAAACTTTTTCTACAAAATACCATAATAATGCAACATTTTATCACAAAATTATCATTAAAACAATACATTTGATCATATATTTATTAGTGAAATTATCACTAAATGCTTAGAGTAATTAAAAATGAATAGAAAATGATAATTTTTTCTTGTTGAAATTATTATTAAATATAAATATTTCTTAAAAAATCAAATTTAGAAAAAAATTTCCTTCTTTTGGACTATTATTTGTGATAATTTTAACAAATAATAATAATAATAATAATAAAGCGACCAATTTAATTATTACATAATTATAAATTGTATGAATATTAAAATTGCTTATTTTAATTATTTTTTCATAATTATCAATTAATTTTTAATAAATAATAAATGAATATAAAAATATTTTTAGGTCATGCGGGTTCATGTTTGACACGATTTTCAACAATGCCATTTTTATTCTGTGACTTCAATAACGTTTGTAATTATGCATCACGTAATGATAAATCATATTGGTTATCAACAACAGCTCCAATACCAATGATGCCTGTTAATGAGCAAGGCATTGAACCATATATTTCAAGGTATTTTAAGTATTACTCTTCTTTTTTTTTTTTTTTGTTTCACTAAATATAAACTAAATTAAAAATATTAAATTTTATTGCATTAAAAAAATGACTAAATTAATGATTCTATATTGAATGATTATTATTTGGAATAATTTTAAATTTGGTTAAATTTTTTTTTTTTTAATTAAAAGTTTTTAATTTTATGTTTTTTCTATTTTTTTTTTCTTTCTTTCTTTACAGATGTGCTGTATGCGAAGCACCAGCTAATGTTATTGCTGTTCACTCACAAACTATTCAAATACCAAATTGTCCAAATGGATGGAATTCACTTTGGATTGGTTATTCATTTGCTATGCATACCGGTGCGGGAGCTGAAGGTGGTGGTCAATCATTGAGGTAATTAATTAATTTCACATTAATTTTGAATAGAATTTTATATTTCATAGTAATAATAATAATTTAAAATGAAATTGAGATTAAATAAAATGAAAATATTATAACTTTTTTTTTTTTTTTTTTTTTTGTAAATTTAAATAATTTTTACAATTGTTCATTTCTATTCTAATTTATTTCTAATCCATTTTGGTTAAAAAAAAAAAAAAAGAAAGAAAATATTAAAAGTACTATTGAATTATTCCAAAAACTATCAGTTATCGTTTTTTTATTTTTTTAATTATTAGCAAAGTGATTATTAGTATTTTCTAAAAATTATTATGCAATTTCTTTGACTTTAATGGTATGCTTCAACAATTGATAGATAGATCAAACTTAATTATTCAATAAATAATGAAAAAAAAAGAAAAATTTTTTTTTAGCTCACCTGGTTCTTGTCTTGAAGATTTTCGTGCAACACCATTTATTGAATGTAACGGTGCTCGAGGTAGCTGCCATTATTTTGCTAACAAATTCAGTTTTTGGCTTACAACAATTGAGGATGATCAACAGTTCAGGGTATATATCATTCTAATTTTATTTTATTAATTCAAATAAAATTATATAACAAAAGTAAAAGTAAAAAATGTAAAATTTTAGATCCCAGAAAGTGAAACATTGAAATCGGGAAGTTTACGAACACGGGTCTCCCGATGTCAAGTGTGCATAAAAGCTACAGATTCGAGCCGATTTCCTTATAAACAATAACATTCAAGAAAAAAGACAAATAAAATAATGAAAGATAACAAAACAAAACAAAAACAAAAAAAAACGATCAATTTTTTTTTGGTGACATCCGTTCAAAAAAAAGAAAAAAAAAAAAAAAAAAAAAAAAAAAAGAGAAAAAAGGGATACAAACAACAAATATCAACAAAACGAATCACACTGCTTAATATTATAAAAATGCTGCCAATTAGTAGTACCTTTCATTTTAATAGCATTTATTGTAAAATTTATTTCTCATTTATTCTTTCTTGAAGCATTTTTTTTCTTTTTTTGCACTGCCTTTAATTTTAATAATTTACTTATATTAAATTATATATACATATATATATATATTTCTTTTATTTTAACATTTTTTTCGAAAGCTGAAAAATTTTAGTTTTATAAAAGAAAAGATTTCAAAAAAAAGAAAAAAAAAGACATTTTTGTTTAGATCAAAGAATTATAGTTTTTTTTTTTTTGAAAATTTTTAAAATTTGAAATATAATTAAATTAAAATGAAACGAAAAAAACGAAAGTTAAAAGTTAATTTAAAATTGTTCTTTCTATCTTTTATTTGGTTTTTGTTTTGTGATACATACGATATTGCTATTATTATCATTAATATTATTATAAACTGCCTTTTCTATTCTATTTCTGCCATCTTTTTCGTTGATATGTGCTTGTTGGGTGTCTCGTTATTTAAAAAAAAATTTTTTTTTTTTTCATAAAAGAAAAAAAAAAGTGTCATTTGAATTATTTGCTTTATTTAAAATGAAAAGAAGGAGAAGAAAAAAGAAAAAGAAATATGTGTTACCCGTGGTGCTACATTTTTCTTTGCCCATTAATTTAATCGGCTAATTAACAGTAAAAATTGCTATATGTTATTTGTACATATTCAAAAAAACATTTAATTGAAGTTTTTTTCTTTCTATATTTCAAAAATTTATATAACTTTATATAACAGTTTACTATCAATATAACCTTTCAAAATAATTAATTTCATTCAGGATGGTTATTCGTTGTGTTCAAGAAGGTAATTTGTTTGTATGCAGTGAGGAGATTTCAGAATTCTTATTCAATCAAAAAATAATTCTAATTTCGAATTTACTAATGAATAATACTGTAAAAGTTTGAAAGTAATTTGTTTAAAAAAAAAAAAAAAAAATGAAATGATAGAATTAATAGAATGAAAAACAGTAGTCAGAATAGAAAGCGCTAATTTGCAAATTGCAACTTTTGCACTCTAAAGTGATCATAATAAATATAAGAATGTGCAAAGTTAAATCATAGTTTAGATATTATAAAGCCATTTATTATGTTTTTATAACATGATATTACAATTCAGCTATTATATGACAGTACAGTTACCCAATTACTACTGTTAATTTCTGATTTAAATTTAATTACAATTTGCCAACCAAATCACTTAATTTTAAATTAGCAATGCAATTTTACAATTCTAACAAATTCTGCTTTATTCATTATGATAGCTGCTCATAAAGCATATTTAATTACTTTAAAATTCATCACTAAACAATCAAATAAAAGAAAAAAACAAAAATAAAAAACTTAAAGAAAATGAAATAATCACAAAAAAGGAGAAAAAAAAAAAAAAAACTAAATACTAGGGAAGTTTTCTCAGCAATTGCCTGAGAAAAGTTTAGAAGAAATAGCCAACAAAAATTTGTTGGTATACTGTACACTACCGTATCGTCATAACTACAGTATGACCAGCAATTACTTTGGAATTGTGTTTGAACTACCGTATCGTCATAGCTACAGTATGATGATCAATTACTTTGACATCTTTTTTTTTCCTGAAGTGTAATTCATTTTATATAAGTACAAATAACCGATTTTGTATAAATCGGTTTTACTGTTAGCTAATGTCTGTTTCATTATTGATCTAATTATTTAACAAATGTAATTTATCATTCTTTCTATTCAGGAAAAAATTATCAATTAGTTCAAAAAAAGCAAAAAAAAAAATGTTGACGACAAAAAAAAAAGAAAAAAAAAAACATAAATGAACATTGTAAACGACAATTACGAGTAGTGATTAAAATTATTAAAAGATCTATTGAATATGTTTGTGGTATTGAAGAGTGAACTTTCACCTATTTTTCCCTACAATTATTTGTAATTAAATTTGAAGAAATAAATTAATTTAATAGAAAAAAAGAAGTAACATTTATGTGAAGAAATTTTTTTTCTTCCTATTTTAGACATTTTTAAAAAAAAGATTTAATCAACCCAATACTTTAAAAATCATTTTTCCTAATGCATAATTATTATTTTTGGAGAATTCAAATTCTTCTTAAGAAAAAAAAAAAAATCCCTGCTTAAAATTTTTCCATTTCCTCTTCAAATTTAAAAAAAAATATAAAACAAACACAATTAATTCTTCGCATTAAAATGTGCAATAAAATTCTTGTTCTTATTGCTTGTGATCAATTTTCAAATTGCTTTTTTAGAGTTGTTAATTAAATTCAGAATTAATTTTGTTAGCTTTCATCAACGAAAAAATTTCGAACTAAACATTGAAATGTTTAGAAGATTAAGATAAATTATTAAATATGTATAAGTACAAATGACAAGAGATAAAATGGGCAGATGTGCTTATAATGGAATGTAATAGCAATAAAATTAATGAAATATAAAAGGAAGAAAATTTTTCATTAATTGCTAATTTTCAAATAAAAAAACTTCAATTTGTTAGAAATTATTTTTCATAATTAAAAAAAAAATTTAATATTCCTATTTCATCTATTAATATCTTCCTTTCATATCATAGCATCATCTTGAATGAAAAAACAAGTTGAAAAAATGACCGGATTTTTGGAAATAATCAATTTTAGCATAATCGGTTTTCTGTTAGCATTGACCATTTTCCGAATCAGCATATCGATATGTCTGATATTTTTTGTACTGTTCGAAGTGAAGTTGCCAATCAACAATGTATTCATTCTCCCAACGATTCATTTCCTGTTTCCATCGCATAACTTGATCACCTGTATCGGCTATAAAAAGAAAAAAAAAAATGAAAAATTAGACAATAAAATAAATCATAATTGATTACAATTTATTTAACAAATTTTGTGCAAAGATTACTTGAAATAACTGAAAAATTTAATATTTCTAATAGTTAGCAAATAAAAAGTTACTTCAAATACTATCAAAAATAAATTTAAAAAAATTTTTTTTTTAAACTCTATAGAGAAAAAAAAAAAAAAAAAAGGTTTTAAAAGTTTAACCTACGGCAGCCATTAAATTTGGTAAAATTTTCTTCCAGAATGAACATTGTTTCCTTCTTGGTCCAGTACCAATACGTGATGCTCCAGCATAATAATCTGATTCCACTGTTAAATTCATATATTCCATTGTTGCTTGTGTATATTGTGGCCATACATCCGGTGTATACGTTCCATCCGGATTTTTATTCGGATTTCTGGATTGATTCAAATAGCATTCATAGATAGGGAGGGGGAAAAAAAAAAAGAAAGAGTGATTTTAAATTCTTTTATCTCAAAAAAGAAAAAAAAAATTATATGTATACCAACTTTTAGTATTAATTTAACAAATTTTTGTCAAATTTTATTTTTCTAAACTACCACTTTTTTTTTTTAAAAAAAAATTTCTTCTAACAAATAATTTTGTTTAACTTAATATTAATTTTAACAAAAGAAAAAAATGACTTTAACTTTACAAAAAAATTGCATTTTTTTTTTTTCTTGATGAGTTTATCATTTTTTTATAATTTTGTTACTTTTCTAACTTCATTAAAGATATTAATGATAAATTGAAAAAAAAAAGTGTTGTACCCGGTACGGGCAAAATTAGCCCAGTATCGCATGAATCTCATACTTAATTCTTGTTCTTCTTTAGTATACGAAAATTTTTCCGTATTCAATGGTTCACCAAATACAAAATTTATCTCATAACCATGCACAACACCCATCCATTGAGGCCATGCTTGTTGAGTTGAACGATGTGTAAAGTAATAATAGTAAGTATCACCTGAGAGAAAAGAAACAGTAAAGCAGTAATAAGTAAGTGTCACCTGAGAGAAAAGAAACTGTAAAGCAGTAATAAGTAAGTATCACCTAAGAGAAAAGAAACCGTAAAGCAGTAATAAGTAAGTATCACCTAAGAGAAAAGAAAAAAGCAAAAAAAAAAAAAAAAAAAAAAAAAAAAAAAAAAAAAAAAAAAAAAAAAAAAAAAAAAAAAAAAAAAAAAAAAAAAAAAAAAAAAAAAAAACGTAAAGCAGTAATAAGTAAGTATCACCTAAGAGAAAAGAAACCGTAAAGCAGTAATAAGTAAGTATCACCTAAGAGAAAAGAAACCGTAAAGCAGTAATAAGTAAGTATCACCTAAGAGAAAAGAAAACCGTAAAGCAGTAATAAGTAAGTATCACCTAAGAGAAAAGAAACCGTAAAGCAGTAATAAGTAAGTATCACCTAAGAGAAAAGAAACCGTAAAGCAGTAATAAGTAAGTATCACCTAAGAGAAAAGAAACCGTAAAGCAGTAATAAGTAAGTATCACCTAAGAGAAAAGAAACCGTAAAGCAGTAATAAGTAAGTGTCACCTGAGAGAAACGAATCAAATTGTAATTATAAATTATAATTAATTATTCAACTATTTTATTTTAATGATAATTTTTGATAATAATTAAAAAAAAAACTGAAAGAATATTTTACCTCCATGCATGCTATTTGCTAATGCAATTTCATTGCTATTACATGTAAATTGTAAATCACCAAGCATTTTGTCCAATGAATTAAGCCAATCGGATGGTTTAATTGGTAAATCAGCTGGCTCATATTCATGAATAATTGATGCTAATGCTAATGGAGATTGAAGCATTTGTCGTGGTAGTAAATTTGAAATACTGTGTAACCATTCTTCACGACTTGTCACAAAATCATTTTTTATGAAGAAATCACCTGGTGGAAAAATATCCTGCAAAATATCTGATAAAAATGATAAAAAAAAAGATTGAATTACACCAAGGTAGTAGCAATTATGATAAATTATTTGAAAATTTTTTTTTTTTTGGATGAATTTTAACAAATTATGAAGGTTTATTGAAACTTACAGCCAACTGAAATTATCTTTTCAAAATTATCTGATCAGATCTGATAAAAAAAAAAAAAAAATAAAAAATAAAAATTGAACTGCACCAAGGTAGCAGCAATTATAATAAATTATTTGAAATGAAATTATCGTTTCAAAATTATTTAATCATAAATTGAATTTGAATGAACTAAATAATTATTTGACAATTATAATGTTGCTTTTTTCTTGATTTTTTTTTTTGTTTAATCAGAAAAATATCTTGAAAAAATATCTTAAGCGATATAAATATATTTCAATGATATTGATAATGATAATTTTGATAACTTTTTATTAGCTATAATCTTGAACTAATATTATTAATTAATTTTAGCACGATAAGCTATAGTTTTTCTTTTTTTTTTTTTGGATGAATTTTAACAAAATATGAAGATTTTATTGAAACTTACAGCCAACTGATAAACAATAAAATAAATTGCTTCTTCTAAATTTGAGCCAATAAGCAATTCAGAAACTTTGAAATTGCCTCGTTTAAGTGATGTTGCTGGTAATTCAACCAGGAAATCACCATCAATTACCGGAACCCAAGGAAAATCAGCAAATTCCATTACTGGTGCCCATTCTGAATCACGGATTGCTTCTGCTGATGCATCCAGTAAACATTTTAACACCTAAATTAATTAAATGAGAAAAAAAAAGGAAATAAAATATTTAAATAATTTGAAAATATAATAATAAAATTTTAACACCTAAATTAATTAAATGAGAAAAAAAAGAAATAAAATATTTAAATGATTTTAAAATAAAATAATAGGATTTTAACATCTAAATTAATTAAATGAGAAAAAGAAAGAAATAAAACATTTAAATGATTTTAAAATAAAATAATAGGATTTTAACATCTAAATTAATTAAATGAGAAAAAGAAAGAAATAAAACATTTAAATGATTTAAAATAAAATAATAGATTTAACATCTAAATTAATTAAATAAGAAAAAAAAAATAAAAATTTAAAATAAAATAATAAATTTTAACACCTAAATTAATTAAATGAGAAAAAAAAGAAATAAAATATTTAAATAATTTGAAAATAAATAATAAAAATTTTAACATCTAAATTAATTAAATGAGAAAAAAAAAGGAAATAAAATATTTAAATAATTTGAAAATATAATAATAAAATTTTAACGCCTAAATTAATTAAATGAGAAAAAAAAAGAAATAAAATATTTAAATGATTTTAAAATAAAATAATAGGATTTTAACATCTAAATTAATTAAATGAGAAAAAGAAAGAAATAAAACATTTAAATAATTTTAAAATAAAATAATAGAAATATGAATCTTTTTAATCATTTTTTTTTTTGAGAAAAACAATTTTCTAATTTTTTTTGAAAATGTTTGAATTTGTGAAAAATTTTCTAATTTTATTTCCTTGCTAAAACTATATAACCTTTTCAAGATCCCAGCTTTCACGATTTTTTGACATATTTCCACAACCTATATCATCATATAAAACAATCGATCGTGCAATTGCTACATCTCTAAAAGATTCGATTCAAATTTGAATTAACTAAAAAATAATTATTAAGCAATAATTTCGCATTCACAATTATTAATTTATCACATATTGTTAAATGATTGGAATAAAAATTTTTTAAAAAGTAAAATTAAATGAATTAAATCAATTTACTTAGATTCGGTTGCCCATGGAGCTGTGACACTTCCGCTTTGAACAATTGCGCGTTGAAAATATGGTGAACTTTTTGGACTTAATAAATGCATTGAAACTGCTGCTGCACCAGCACTTTCACCAAATAATGTTACTTGATTAGGATCACCACCGAATAAATCAATATTTTTTCGAACCTAAAAATTTAATTAATTTTAATTTTATGCAAAATTTAAAATTTATCAATTTTTAGCTTAAAATTTATCAAATTTATCAACCTAAAATTTATTAGCTGCACGCAACAAAAAAAAAAAAAAAATACAAATATTACATTTTTTGTAAAAGTAATTAATAAAAAGTGAAACATAAGTTTGTTTATTATATATTAATGATATTAATATCTGAATGATATATTGTGAGACATAGTTTTTATCTAAAATGAATTTAATCAATTTAATGGAAAAATATTAGTCTAAATCTTATTCTATCAATCATTTTAATTAATTAATATCACTAGCTATTGCTTAACATTTGATATCATTTATCAACTAATAGTTTGCCTAGTAGCTGATATCACTAAAATAATTGATATTATTTACAAGCTTTAAAAAAAAGGAACTTTTTTTTTTTTTTTTAAATAAGAAACATTTGTTAAACATACTCGTACATTTTAATCTAAGTAATCAAGAATTATCAGTCTAAATCTTATTCTATCATTTATTTTAATTAATTAATATCACTAGCTATAGGTTAACAGCTGATATCATTTATCAACAAATAATTGTTTTAACATTTATCAACTAATAATTTGCCTTATAATTGATATCATTTTAAGAAAAAAAAGAATTTTTTTTTCCTTTTGAAAAAACTTATACATTTTAATTCAAGTAATTAAGTAATAAATTAAGTAATAAAATCAAACCCATTTCAATGCAAGAAGCTGATCCCATAGGCCCATATTACCAGGTGCTTCTTCTCGACCCATATATAAAAAGCCAAATACACTGACACGATAATTCATTGCCACAAATATCACATTCTCTTCGCTAAAAAAAAAAAAAAAAAACAAAAATTAATTTATTTAAATATAATTTTTAAATTAAATAAACATTATTATTTCTTTCAATATATATTTTATAACTATTATTCCTTCCTTCTTTTTTTTTTTTTGTGAAATTGAAATTCATATGAATTTAACAAAGTGACATGTAATATATTTAAATATTTTTTACTGTTTAAAAATGAATAATTTTATAAAATTTATAAATTTTCCAATATAAATAATAAAATTGAAAATTATTTAAACAATTAACAGAATGAATGAAAAATTGTGATATAAGATAAATGATATGATAATGTATTTATTTTATGATCAATTTTTTTTTCTAAAAAAGAAAACAAAAAAAAAAAAAAAACTAGCCTAGTAATAATTTTAGGATCATAAACATCCAATGATATGCAACCGGACCAAAAGCCACCACCATAAATCCAAACCATAACCGGTAAACGAGCATTTCGATTAATTTGTCCTGGTACAACTAAATTGAGGTAGAGACAATCTTCTGATACAGGTACATTACTATTCCACATGGTAGCTCCTTGGAAATCACCAAAATATGTATCCATACTCTAAAATTTTAACTGATTAATTTTACAATTTAATATTAAATTTTTACTTTAATTAGAAATAATAGTAACATTTTTTTTTTCATTACTTTCATTAAATTACTTTCAAATTATTTACTTTTATTAGAAATAATAGTAATACTTTACAAAATACGATCAATTAATTTTACATACTAATTAATTCCTTATTATTATAATGATAGCACCTTAATGTGAAATATATTAGTAATTAATAAAACCCTAGATCGTAGAATAAATATATCCTAAATCATCCTAGAACATTCTTTATTTTTTAAAAAAATTTATCATTGTTATACTATGGCTTACCTATTCATTATTTGATTACAGGTAAGAAATTGGCAATAAATGGAATTAATTCGAAATTAAATTCTTAGCTTTGAAATATAAATAATTTGAATCAATTAATTTAAATTATAAATGATCTAAATCAATTACTTTAAAATATAAATAATTTGAATCAATTACTTTAAAATATAAATAATTACTTCAAAATATAAATAATTTGATTCAATTACTTTAAAATATAAATAATCTGAATCAATTACTTTAAAATATAAATAATTTGAATCAATTACTTTAAAATATAAATAATTACTTTAAACTATAAACAATTTGAATCAATCAGATCAATTAAATTTAACATTAAATTGCTTCTATCATTTAAAAAAAAGAAAGAGATACCTGCATACATGCATTTGGCATTTTTGTAGCATTAAGTGGTGTTCGCCATGGTTGCTTTGGTTTTGGTTTTCGGAACCTTAATTGTCCAACCGGTGGTTCTGCAAATGGTACACCAAGAAATTCCGTAACTAATTTACCATTTTCAGCAAACCTTTCACGACCAAATAAAGGTGATCCATCATGTAATGTTACACGTTGATTCACAACTGGCTGTAATGCATTTCTTTTTTTAAATTAATTAATAATTTAATAATCTTTAAGAAAAAAATGATCGTTATTGACTTTTTAAACAAATTTTCATATTTAAATTTAATCACTAAATTAATTTTTGAATCTTTAAAAAAAAATATTTATATCATTTCTTTTTTTTTAAAGTTTAATCTTATAATACTTTAATGAATTCTTATTTTTTTTCTAGGTGAAGTGATTATAATGTTAAAAATGATTGATTATTTATAATTAAAAAAAAATTTGAAAAAAATTTTACCTTAAGAAACAAAGTAATGAGCGTCAAAAAATACAAGGCAATATTCATCATTCAATATCACACAATCATTATTAAAATGTTCATTTTATTTCAAAATGAAGGAGTTAAAATTAACTAATCAAATTTATCAGTGATAATTTGATAGCCTGAAATAATTTCCATATTATATATTTAACGAATAACTTGATAAAAATTATCCTTAATAACCAATATGAAATATTACTTAAATATATGAAAATTATATTATGACGGATACTGTAGCATACGGTAGCGGATACTGTAATTTGTTTGCGTATCACATAAAAATTTAAAAAATGTGAAAAGAATTGCAAATGTGAAATGCACTAAGTGTCATTTCAAATAGAAACATTTTTGTTGTTACAAAAGAAATCCGGAAAACTGGTTTCTGTTTGCTTATTTCTTTCAGTGTTTCCTTTTTTCTCTATTACCGTTCATACTTGCATTTAATTTGCTACTTAAACAAACATTTCAGGTAGAAATGTTAACTCAAAAAAAAAAAAAAAAAAAAGGAACAGAAATGTTACATTCTGTTTGCTATTTTTATTATTGTTATTTATTTAACAGACTGTCTCTTCTTTTTTTTTTAATTTCATTTTGTTAAAATTTATTTAAGAAATTATAAAATCATTTTGCAACTTTTTTGTGCCAAAAATTATGTGTAAAAAAGAAAAAAAAGCAAATTTTGTTTTATCATTTACTCATTATTAAAATTTATTTAAAAAATTTGATTGAATATTATTTAAATAATTAAAAAAGCATTGATGCACTTGGATGTTATTGCATATTTTTTTGTGATAATTATGATATAAATGATAAAATAACTAGTAAAATTACAATTTGAGCAGTGATTATTGAAGAACTGATTAATTAATATATAATTATTTATCTAATAATATGTGTAAACAACTCTGATTTCAAATTTTTGAATTGATCAATTTAAAAAAAAAAGAAAAAAAAGTAGAAAATAATGGGAGTTATCAGAAGATTAACACTGTACACTGATAAAGCACTGATAACAGTGATAAAAAATCCTTTCGAAAACTAATTAAACTAATTAGCATATTTTTCCATTTAGTAATTTGATGAAAATACCTCAATTAACGACAATGATTTATTATTATTTTAATTACAATGAATTATTTATTATTATTATTACTTTTTTCAATTACTTGCAAAAAAAAAATTACAAAGAGTCAAATTATTAGTTAATATTTGATTATAAAAATTTTTTCAACAAATATTAGCAAATTTAATATTTAGCATATATTAATTATTAAAAAAAGAAAAAATATCACAAAACAAATGTATTATTTACTAAATGATTGTTTTAAATTTCATAAATTTAATATTGGAAAAATTTGATGCATCAAAGATTTTAATTTAAAATGAAATATTTAACATATGTTTTCCTTTCATTTATCCTCATTTAACTAATCAATCTTGAACTGACAACAATTCATATTATATTTAATTAATGACAATTAATTTTTACATCAAAAATTATAATTTAGAAAGATAAAAGAGAGAAAGAGAGAGAGAGAGAGAGAAAAAAAAAACAACTATACTGATATTATTTTCAAACTAAAATAACAAATATTATTGAGTTGGCAATGAAATACAAATATTATGTAAACAAATATGAATTCACAAATGATAACTTTCATATATATTTTTTTTTCTTCCCCCCCTCCCCCCCCCTTCTCCATCAGTCATTTTTGAAATTGTGAAACGATTTTGCAGGGCTGTGAAATTGAGAGGTAATAATGGGAACAGGTGACGAACCTCATCAGATCATCCCATCATCATCATCTTAGCTTCTTCTCTCTCTCCCTCTCTCTCTCTCTCCCTCTCTCTCCCTCCCTCTCTCTGTGTCTCTTTTTTCCTCTTCTAATTAGTTCGATATGTTGTAATCTTTTTAAAAATTTAAAAACTAACATTAAGCACAAAGTAGTTCGTTCATAGTATTGCTTTCAACTTCATGAAATACATTTTTTTTTTTTTTAAATGCAAACATTAAATTTTTTATGACAAAAAAAAATAAAAAATAAAAGTTAATTTTTCTAAATGATAAATCAAAAATAAAGATAAGAAAATTTTATCAATAAAAGTTAAAAAAAAATAAAAATTTTAAAATTTTTCAAAAATTTACTTAAATGTTTAATTTATTATACACAGTTGTGATCATTTTAATATATAAATATATTATAATTTTAGGATATTTCAGGTTTATTTGATTTATAGTTTAAATATGAAAAAGTTGAATAGTTGCTTGAAGTTAGTTCCGTGTTTTATCAAAATTTCTTTTTCTTTTTTTTTCTTTGAACTGAAAGTTGATTTTTTCACACCTGGCACAAAGTACTTAAATTGATTTGTTGAGGACAAATTAATGATTTGTTAAAATCAATACTAAACTAAATACAAAGTAAATTCTTTTTTTGCTTCTCTTTTTTTCTTCTACTTCAATTTTTTCATTTTAACTTTAAATTTCAAAAAGTGTCTATTTTATGATTGTAAGAGCTTTGAATCGGGGAAAAACAAAAACAAAAACGAATTGTCAGTTCGAAATTAAATTAATAAAAGTGATGTGAAAATTTAAAAAAAGATTTTGCTAATTTCTAAATTAGTATTTATTTTCAAACTTAAATTAGTGTTACACAATGATAAAAAATAAACGAATTGTCAGTCTGAAATTAAATTAATAAAAGAGATATAAAAATTTAAAAAAAAAATTATGTTAATTTCTAAATTAGTATTTATTTTTAAACTTAAACAAATGTTATATAATGATAAAAAAAAAAATTTTATTTTTTTACAATTCAACAAAAAATCTTTTAGCACTTTGCAATGACAAAATTTTAAGCATATAATTTCCTAAAAATATTAAATATATGCTTTTCTTTTCTTTTCTTTCTTTTTTTTTTTTTTTTTTCCAATAATGATAATCATTAGGTACAATCAAAAAATATTGCAAAAAAATTTTTCAAATTGAGCAATCATTTTTTTTTTAAATCTTTTTGTATAGAATGATTAAAAAAAAAAAAAGCGAATTTATTCAAATCTATTTCTCACCATTTTAAAAAATGAAAAAAAAAAAAAAAAGAAGGGGAAAACTCGTCTTATAATTATTTTTAGGACAAATTATGATTGAATACAATTTTTTTTTTCCCTTAAATTCCACCATTATGGCTTGAAAATTTCTTACATGCCAATAAGTAAAAAGTAAAAATAAATTTTTTTTTTTTTTAATAATAATTAAATAAAAATAAATTTAAATATAATTAAATAGTTAAATTTTTTAAGAAACAAAATATGAAATTATTGATTTGATAACTAATGGTTTTTTTAAAGAAAATTAAATGTTTTTTAAAAATTAATTTGATTTCTTACTTGTTAAAATAAAAATGATTGAGCATTTAGCAAAATGAGTTACATTTGAACTAAATAATCTCTTGTTGGAATAATAATTAATGAGTTTAAAGTTGTTTTATTCTTTGATTGATAAGCTTGAAAAAAGTTTAAAGTTATTTGTAATACATTGTTTCTTAATTTTATTTTTTTTTCAAAGATATTTTTGGAGAAGAAGAAACACATATATATATAAGCAAAATTTATTTTTGAAAGATACATAAATATATTAGTAATAAAAAAATTTTTAAAATAAACAAAAGAAAAAAAAAATGCGTAAAAATAATAAATAAAAATGTTGAAGTCCAAAGGTTAAATTTTATTTAGGGAAAAGCAAGCAAAATAGAAAATCAATAATAATAATAATAATAGCATTGTTGATAATAATAATAATAGTATTTATAATAATAATAAAAATAGTGGTAATAATGATGATAATAATATTAGTAAAAATATTAATAATAGTAATAATTGTGTTGTTATTATTATAATATCTATTTATTGCATTATTAATGTTTATTATTATTATTATTATTATTATTATTATTATTACTATTATTATTATTATTATCTGTAATAAAGAGATGAATACTCAGTATGTCTAAAAAAATAATCATAAAGCAAAACAAATTGCAAGTATTACTAATCCAACAACAATCTTTAAAAAAGATCAGACTGAATGGTAGCATTGTGGTTGCACATTTTTAAAAAGATTAAATTTGACCTTAAAAGGGTCAAATTATGGAAGTATAAGTTCAAAAAGGTTAAATAAATGTCAAAAAGGTCAAACTTTATGCATACTAAATGATTTGGTAAAATTTTTTAGAAATTTTCTTATTGTACTATCTTTTAAGATTCCTTTTTGCCACTTAAAATACTTTTTCTAATCAATCAATCAACAAATTTAAATATTTGAAATAAATTAAACTAAAATTTAAATACCTTCAGGTGATCATTGCTAATACATTGAAAATAGGTATTACTTATTTCATTCTATTCAATAAAGTATGAAGTTATTAATTTTATAAGTATTTTCAAATTTAAAACTTACAAATATAGTATCTTTGCAGTTGAAATAAAACTCCGATGGTTATTTTATACTAATTTATCAAAAATTTAGATGAAAAAAAAAAAAAAAAACTACTCTTTTCATTTTTCTAAAAATAACTAAGATAGATTGATTATTAGAAATTTTAGATGGACTAAGATAAATTTTAAGCATAATCAGTTGAAAAAAAAAAAGCTTAAAAGTAACATTGAAATAGCTTTATTCTTCTAAAAATGAAATTCATCTTTAATTCTAAGAAAAGTAAACAATAAATATCAATTTTCATTTCTTTGATGAGCAAAAAAAAATTAAATTAAAAAAATAAAACTTTATTTGTCGTAAAGCTTTGAATATAGGAAAAGATATATATATTTTCGTTCATTTAATGAGAAAAAAAAATGAAATAAAATTTCCTTTATTTGATTTAACATGTTAAATTAATGCATTTTCAATTCATTTATTAAAAATTTTTTGAATAAAAATTAATACCAAATAAAATAATATAAATAACTGAATTACTATTATTATTTGAATAAAAATTAAATTGAATTAAATTAAATTAAACAATAACAGA